TTCTCTCTCTCGATTTCAACCACATTTTTCAATAAAAAAATATTATACGCAAATTCAAAACTTCTCCTAATTTTTAAACTCATATTCTTCATCAAATCAATATTCTAAAATCCATTTTTTGCAAAAACTAGACATCAAATAGGCTCTTAATATTTTATTGCTACCAACGACCAACGATCGCCCATGTTGACTTAAAATCCTGAATCCGCCACTGCTCCATGGTGTGACTATTCATGGTGAAAAATGTTAAAAGAGTGGCTTCTTTTTGCTTTCAAGGAAAGCCAAATAAGCTATAAGTTTTAATTTGAAAAGTAAATAAATCTCTCGAATTAAAAATCAAAATGTACTAATTTTTCATGTTTCGTTCATGAGTTGAACAAGATTTTGTGGTATCTCGATATTAAGCCCTTGTTTGATGGGATTAAAATCATATTTTAGTAGATTTTAATAAAAATTGATAAAATGTGATTAGTTGAAAAGTTATGAATTCCACAATATACATGGTTAAAATTAATTATTGACTTCAACTCACATTAAAATCTACCAAACGGGGGCTAAACATGCAAATGGACATATACCATATACTAAACCAAACATACCATTTTCTAAACAAAATATTGTGGCAGATACAATGCCAAGATTCTGAATTTAAACTTGGTAAGAGTTTCTTTCAAGAATTTTAGAGGGAAAATAGTCAAATCATTTGTTCACCCCGGATAAAATTTTAATAAATTTTTTTTTTTTTTTTCAATCACACATTCTCCAATAAAATAATATTACACGTAAATAAAAAAAAAAACAATCCTCTTTTGTAACCACACATTCGTCCAAAAATTACTATTCCAAAATACATTATTTTCAAAAATCTCATTATAATGGGGCCGGGCATAGTTTAACTTGATATTTAATTTGATAAAAAGTTGTGAATCCAGGTTTTAATATGTCCAAATTAGGGTTAAAAGCGCATGTAATTAACTTACAAAGAAATTTTATGTTAGTTACTAAACTTTATTTTATTTCAAAACAATTACTAAACTTTTTTTTTTTTTTTGTCTCAAATTGATCTCTCAATTAAATTTCGTTAATTTTTCTCCAAGAGATTACATAAATGTAGAGGCCTTTGATGTCAGACATTTCGTTCAGAGGAATTAATCAAGCAAAAATAAAGTTTTGATTCTCATTCTTTTCAAAATATATTTTTTTTCATTTTTCTTTTTAACTATACATTATTCAACAAAATAATATTGCTCGCAAATTCAAAAAAAAAAATTTATTTTTTAATTACATATTTTTCATCAAATTACTATTTCAAATTCTAAAAAGTAGAGATTGGTGAATACTGTCGGTGACTAACATGAAATCTCGCTATAATTTGACTATGATTAGTGTTGCCTATACATGAAATTCTGTGCATAGACCTTTGACAAAACGTGAATCCTACCCACTCTATTTTCAACCATTATACAAGAGTTACAATTATTAAGCCTCGTTTTGATTAAGAATAATGTTATTTGCAATGGTTCACTGCAGCAGTCGTCATATGTGGTACACACATATCAAATGTGTATTTAATGTATTAATGTGGTAAAAAAATTATCATATTAATGCATCAAATAACTACATGACATGTGTGTATTCTACTCATTTTCACCCACACATTTTTCAATAAAATAATATTTTTCATCATATCAATAACTTTTTTTTCAACCACATATTCTCTATCAATCCAATATTACAAAATACATTCTTCCAAAATAATGTGACTCAAACACACTCTAATATTATTTAGCAAATTAAAACAAGTGACATTAAATTAAAGATTCAAATAAATGAGTCATTTCATTTTACCTATCATTAAACTTATCACTTAATGTCACATAAACTGATGTTATAATACCACATGTGTTGGATAGCATTATTTATTTATAAATGGTTTAAAAATAATAATAATAATAATAATAATAGGAGGAATAGTAATAAATTGCACAAAATACATGGATAATGATGAATAATATTACTTTAAAAAAGTGTGGTTAAATTTAATATTGACTTCATTTATAATATAAATTTGTATTCAAATATTTGCTAAATAATAAGAAGGTAACTATCTTTTGAATTTTGCTACGTGTACACCAGTCTGACACCTCGATATGCAGCTCCCTTCACAATAGGGGGGAACCCACAACATTTTTTTATTGACCGTGGACCCATACTGTGATGGGCAGGTACAATAGCAAACCCCTACTTTTATTTTAGCTGGTTCTTTTTGTAGCTGGTTTTACAGCTTACTATTCAAAACAAGAGGAACCAAAAATCAATTCTATGTGCCGAAAACCAGGATCCCATATCATGTGATTCAACAGTTTAAGCAACTTATTTATGAGAGATTCTCTTTCTCACTTAACAAGTTGATTATAATTTATTATTCCTAAAAGAGCCGCAGCACTAAAAGACAACAAAATAAGCTGACCATAAACTTGTCTAATCAAGAAAAGCTTTAGGTTGTGTTTGGCTTCTGGATGAGAAATGACATGCACTGTGCCTGTTTGACGTTGTTAAATGCCAAACAGCGAATATAAGCATTGGGGTATGCCTTTTTGCACTCTTGAACTTCATTCAGAACTTGAGAGGAGTCATTGCAGCCAAACATGGGCAGCTTCCACAGAGTCCAGTATCTCCCATCATAGTAATTTGGCATCCTGCTGTTTTCTCTGTGCACATATCCCACCTTCCAAAACAACCCAGACCTGTAAATCGAAGACAGTACTGGACTGGACTGGACTGGACTGATGAAAACATGACCATCTTTTCTACTATTTTGATGAGATTATATTCATTTGCCTAACACACACACTATGATCTTCATAGCAAAAAGTGAATTCGAGATCTTCGAGTGCTCTCATACTATTTTGAGCTGATTCATCTAAAATGTTAAGGTATTAAAGAGAAGATGGATTTATTTATTTAAATCGTACCTCGTCGAATTCAAGACAAGGGATCCATCCCTTTTTGATCATGTAGTCAATCTCTTTTGCAATCGATTCATCGGAGAGAGGTGGAAGATATGAAAGGGTCTCAAACTTCTTGTTGTTGATGGGGTTCCAAGTCTGTCAAATTCAAATTTGTGTTAATGGTGAACACTAAAACAATGGACACCAAGATTCGTTTATATGGATAGAAATGCAAGTAAAACCCACCAAAGTTTCGATCAACCTTCTCGTTTTTGTTGATTCACTCGTATATACCAGGAAATAGATATTAAAACTCGTTTATTGGGTGTGTATTCACGTTTTCATCCACGCAAAATTAACAAAATGATTTTACCTTCATGCAGTGAGTTTTAGAGCCATTTGAGACAGTTTTCTTGCTCCAAGAAACTGAGTCCTTCTGAGGGAAAATCTTAGAGCAATTGGATATCAAACCTGCGCAGGTTGATCCAGCGGCAACAACTGAGAAACTTGTAGCAGACATTTTCCAACTTGGAGTAAAAAAGGTTTAGCAGAAGAAAAAAGTGATGGGGTGTGTTTAAAATATAAGTGGAATCTTGAGTTTTTTGGAAAAGAAGAAATTGGTTGGAGAAAAGGACAAAGATATACAGTATAGTAGTTGTGAGGTGAGGTGTGATTTGTTGCGAGGGGTAGGGTGGGGAAAGTTCAAGGCGGTGGAGAGTTTTGTTAGGGATTTGAGCATTGGTTTCATCACCATTTGCTGCTGCTGTTTTGATTTCTTTCAAAGTGCTGGTTTCATCTATCTATTTTAAGCGTGTTACGACATCACTCTCCTCAAAGCGTTTCTTGAAAAATTAGTGTCGATGTAATGCAGCTTCATAGCGTTCACAGGGTCTAATCCTAACCCCCCTGCCTATTCTTCGCGTTCGAAAAGTAACAAAGGGACCCATTGACTACTAGTCCATGTGTGAAACTCACTCTTACTATTAAGTTTGGTTTCTGCAAGTCCACGTGTGATCGTGCAAATAGATAAAATTTGATATTACGAATTCAAAACTATAAAATTGGAATATGGCAATACACAACCTCCTCAAAGCATTCCATTAAGTAATGATACTCAAAACCAATCTTTGTCGACACGACCATTACATGTAATTTTCATAAATGAGTGATGGTGAAAGTTGAAATATAGATATTTGCGTCTTCACATTCCCTTTTTTCCCACGGAAAACCCTAATATTAATTTCCACCACCAAATCACTTATAATTTACAATACCAAAACTTGATAAGCCAAACAAGCAGAGGCAGTTAATTATCCATAAATAGGCAGGAAATTCTATAACAGAAAAACATTATCCGGAGGTACTACATAATTATAGAACTAATAACTAACATCCTGAAGTTATAAATATAAATGATATCTTAAACGAAGAATGATAAAAACATTTCTAACTTCCAAAGAATGAAGCAGGCAAATCTCATTGGATTTGTACACTGAATCCTGAAATGGTAGAATCCATCAGTGCCAAAGCTTCATGCAAAATCCTGCTGGTACCATAGAACTACTACTCTTGTTTGACATAACATCCGAGAAGGAGTCAACAAGTTGTCCAGCAAGAGAGGTCGGATCCTCGATAAATGTATCGATAAAGACTTTCACGACCCTCACCTGCTGTGGGTTTGCTCTCAAGCTGTACCAAGTCAAGAATTTCTGTCTAAAGGTTGTCTCAATATGACCATTACACTCCAACCATCTGATTACTTTGACGTAATACTCAAAATCCTTGTCTCCGATTCCACTACACTCCTCGTCTATTCTTTCCCCAATACTCTTCTTTGATGAGCTGCCCGCTTGAGGCTCATCCCTCCTGGACACAATATCAAGATCCTTACCCACAAGTTTGGGTCCGTTGTTCTTTCCAATCCCATCCTTCACATTCTCCAACTTGCAAGGAGTGTATGGCACGCATTCCAATCCAGTAGGAAGAGGGTTGTTTGTCCCATTATCAGGGCTCGTTTTCTTGACCATTTGACCATCTGAAGAGTCCTTGTTTTTGAGGTTTACATCATCTGCATTATGTTCTTCATCTAACAGACAGACTGCATTTCTAGTAGTCTCTTTTTGTCTCTCGTCAGAGCAGTTGTTGGCGTCATTAAGTAAATTTATCGAGGCGGTTTTATCAACATTTCTGCAATAGCCAAGATAATTACCCTCTCTATTGTCATCCCCATTGCCGCAGGGCACGACATTATTAGTTTCATCTTCCACAGAAGAAGGATTAGAAAGGCTGCTACAGTTGGTAGCCGGACTTTGACTTCTATCTACTTCCAAGCTTTTAGAGTCCGAAAATTTGACCGGAGAACTACTGGTTTGGAACTGAACCTCACACGTTCCCACATCCCCATTACTGCCATGGGGCACGACCTTGAGAAGATAACGAGTATCCGGGGTTAGACCTGAAAGCAAATACCTCGAATTTGGTGCGAACAATCTCAAGGTAGGTTCCTCTGGATAGTCTGCATCATCAGCTTTCCGGTACCATAAAGTATAACCCGTGACATTTCCCAAATTTGAATCAGCACAATTCAAAATCACCATGAGTGATGAAATACCTATATCTTCTAACCTGATAAGTTGTGCGGCAAGCATATCATGATCTAGACAAGATGGAAAAAAGAAAAAAAATTAAAAAAAATAACAAGAATTAGTCAAATGGTTATCTTGTGCTTCAAATTGAGACCAATATTTAGAACGAAAATGGCCTTTTTGTGGGGGTGGTGGGGGGTTGAAGGAAATGTACCAAGAGGAACAGCAGACACTCGGTTCGAAAGCATCATGTCTAGAGAATCCAGAACGGAAGCACAGAGTCTCTGAACTTCCGGGCCAGATGAGAGCCTGTTCACAATGCCTCTTGCCTTCTTTACAGGCAAACCAGTTAATGGACCCACTTCCTCTTCAAGCTTTTTCACGGCTGCATCTATGATTCCATATAGATTTTGGTAATGTTTAGTACCAGCAAGAATCTTTTGGCTCAAGGAGAGTCGATAGCATAATATGTCTACTCGTCTGGTGTCCCTCGCCACTATCAGTTGTTTTCTCCAGGAGCTGCATTAATTTTTTCTTTGCTTAAGCATTGTTATTAAATACGAAAAATGCATTGACACACAAAAACCACGTGTGGCTTGAACAAGACGTAAAAGTGAGGCACACGCTTCATTGAAGCAAAGTTTATGTTGTACTCAACATAAACAAAATACTCAGACACGTCCAAACTCAGATGTAGCAATAATTTTCAACAGATTCCAGCAAACATCATCACATTGTAACAGCCAATAGAATTGATGTATACATTATTTATTTTATGATAACCTTGAACTCTACAACCATTGCCAATTCAAATTAAAACTAAAAAGAGAAAAACTACTCGTACTTTTTTTCCCCCAGCGAACACTCTGAAATATAGTGTACGTTTAAATCTAACCAATCATAAATCTCATATTCTAGAACATTACAAGATAAAGTACACACGCTGTAGAATTCAACTAAACCCTCAAATAATACTTCTACCCGACTAAAATATTAGTGGGTCCACATAAATTCAGTGTTATATTCAAGGGTTCTTGTCCTCTTTTATATTTTAGTTGACTTCCTAACACCTTAGTTGTGTTCCCATATCTCAAACTAGGAAACACATCCAATTCTATGTTGGTCTTCAAACAAAATAAACAGCCCAGAACTTGACTAATATAATTAAGTTTGAATCAGCAACACTTCAAAAATATCAGCAATTACAACAGCATTTATATCATTCATTCCATATCAAATTGACCCCAAATTTGAAAAACAATATTTGTTTTCATACTAAATCAAACTAAGCTAATATTAACTAAGTCCTGGCGCAAACCAATGTATCCAATGAAAAATTGAACATCGCTACAGGGAGAACAGTAATTAATTTTCACCACATACAAAAACACTGTACTTAACTTTAACCACCAGAAATCAATTTTCACCATATCAAATCAAACTAAACCACTGAACCAGCGAAAGTGATTACTATTGTGAAGACCAGTTGCAGTCTATTACTTTGCTCATAATGCTGATAGATGTGCTTCAAAATTAATGAAGTTATATCAGATGACAATAGCTAATAAAGGCATACCAATACAAAGAAGACAAGCAATAGAACTTCTATATTGTTGCATGAACCGTGCAAATATATAAGAAAATGAATAAATAACAAGCATAGTTATTGACCTGAGTAAATCATTCACTTTTCCACAAGACATGCAACAAAAGCTCCCATCAAGCCCTTCATCTTTCCTATCTTTCGAGATGCCAGATTTTTCATGCTTTAGAGCACATTCAAGGTGAAATGACATGCCACATGAATTACCATGGAAAGGAGGGTCTGAGTTACAAACCAACCACAAACTCGGATCCTTGTTGTCATCGTACAGGTGACAGATGCAGCATGAGCATCTTTTGCAAAATACATCTCTGTTACTCAATTTAGCCTTGCAAGCTGAATTTTTGCAGTAAGTGGTATTACTTGAATCACCATCTAGAACATTAGTTGTAGCAGTATTTCCGGCAACAAGCAAGCGATGTGGGTGATCAGATTTTCTTGGCCGTTTGGGAGTCCTCTCACCAGTTTCTTGTGAAGGCTGTGCTTCAGGAACGCTTGCAGTTCCACACACCTGTGATTTTTTTTCACATACAACTCTCAGAAGGTGGTCAATTATTTTTAACTTTGTTAAGCCTGTGTACTTCCTTTCTTTTCCCAACTCTGCACAAAGAATTTGCAAGATCTCCTGGCGGCTCCAAGATTGAAGGATATCTGTAGCACCATCTGACCAATTTGATAATTCATAGACTAGCTCTCTTTTTTGCTCCAGGCTCAACTTACTGCACTTCGATGGATCAAAAACCAACTCTGGGCCAAAAAATGTTGAGTATTAACACAGCTAGAAAGTGTTTTTGACAGAACCAGATTTTGATGAATAACTATTATTCAAAGCACCATTATAGACTGGGAAGAAGGGGATAGACCCATGCAGCTCAAATATAAGATGAATTTACAGTATCAGTTTTACCTTTTCCAAATTTTGGTGGCTGATGCTATACGGATTCAAGTAAACTAGATGAATTCTCTTAGTAGAATGCTTCAAATCTAAGTACCTGTTTGGTACATAGTACCAGATAATACTAGACAGTGATTTTAGTTCCTTTTTTCTCCATTGATACTCTCTCCAACATTGTTCAATCCACATAACCAAACATGCCATAAAGGTTTTAGACTCTCGGACTGAATGCAGTTTCACTCTATTGATGCGATAATATGAAAGCTCAGACCACAAAGAAGACACCAAAGTAAAAGGTTCAATAAGAGAAAGAACTGAACAGTAATCAAAATACAAGCAACACGAAAGACAATTTCAACCATATTGAAAAAATATATGCCTCGTGTCTCAAGTCAAGCCATAAAAGGTTTTCTAGACAGAAAAAGTTTTTCTTATTATTCAACATATAATTTGTTATGATCTTTCTACTACCAGAGATTGTACAACGAATAAAAAGGAAAACATGGCCATTAACCTGCCTAATGAAAGAGGAAGAAAGAAAATAATAAAATAGCTGGCAGGTACAAATTTCAGCACGTCGTGAAGAAAGAAATTAAACAATAAAAAGGGATAAGCCTGTCAAAATAAAACACCAATGTAGTATATGAGGTCACACAACCATTTCTAGATTAAAAATGTCGCCATAGTCAGCAACCTTCATCTCTGACTTCCGCAATGCAACAAAGTAAACTCAATTTATGATTTAACAATAAAAATCAGTTCACCAATAATACGCATAAATTCCTTCTAGAATCTTGGCTAACCACCTTTCATATTGGAGAAACAGAATAAAAATCGCAGAAAAAACACAGCTAGCATTTCATTGGCATCTTTAAAATCAATCACTATTTTCTTGTAAGCATCTTTTAAATTAATTGCAAAATGTCAAAAACCATGAAAAGTAAATGAATTTATTATGAGATATTCACTCATAATAAATTGATAATAACTCAAAAATTAAGTGCTTTGTGTGTGTATGGTGTCAATTTCATCATCAAACAAAAAAAAGCCCAAAAGATTAAATCAATTGACTAACACAATCACGCTTGGAATTAAGACTAACAAACAGATCAATCGCAAAAAATTCATGACCCGTAAACCAAAAATCTGAAAAGGATCCAGTCTATTCGCATCAAAAGTACCAAAAGCATAGAACATACGTTCATCAAAAACAGAAAAAGGAAAAAACCCAGAATCATACTTATCCGAGAAAGAAATAATATTTACCATCCAATGAAAAACCATCCATGGGTGTTGTTTTGGTTAACAAAAGATCCTGCCCACATTACCACCAGAAGCCCATTATTTCAGACCCTTGAAAACGCAGTTTTTCAAGCCCACATGCCAGCACAAAAAATCTGATACACGTAGATATAGATAAGAGTACAAGTACCAAGGAGAAGGGTAGAAATTAAGGCACTAGCAAATAATCAAGAAGGATTTCAGCATCCTAAGACCCATATATGTAAATAAAATTATTCTATATGCATGTAGAGGAGTACTATAGATGATGAGAGAGAAGCAGTTGAAGGAGAGGAGAAAAAGTGGAGAAAAGAAGAAATAAATATAAAGGGCAAACAAAGCAACAGAGGAAAAAAGCGGCTGAATGTACTTTTAACCTCCTCTGTTTACAATATGTTCCATTGCACCGCTCTAAGGGTTCGGTCAATAGGAATTGTCGTGTACAGAGGGGTGTTATTTTATCGAGAAAAAGGAAATAATGGAGAATTAAATAGTTAAATTTGACTCGAATGTTGATAGAAAAGGTAAATAATCGAGATTGTGGGTTAAAAAGTTACGGATTCATGAAACGTATGATTAAAATTAATTTTTTATTTTGATTTAAATTGAAATTCGAATTTTAATCCGTACCAAACAGGGTCGTAGGTCAAAATATGGTTAAAAATAATTTTGAAAAACATTTGTGTCAAACTAGCCTTTAGAGTATAGAAGTGTGCTTTAAATTATAATCTATATCATTAAAAAGTAATACGCTGCGCTCTCGGCATACATATGCAAGAACTTAGTTTTAACTTTAATCGACAGTTTATTTTGAAAGTTACTTAATTTACTAACAATGAACTTTCTCGTGTATAATTTTTTAGCTTAGCCAAACATGCACGAAGTCTTTGAAATGACTAATGTTGATGTGTACTAAATGCGTAGCAGTTGAAGTTTTAAACTTGTCATCTTCAACACGATGGGTTAGGTGATACAACTAATCTTCTGTTAAAATTTAGAGTATAGAAGTGACATATATGATTGATTTATATTATTGAACAGTAACAATCATATACTCACTGAGGGACAAGAAATGAATATAACTCGACGATAAAATGCCACCTTATCGTGATGAAAGTCATAAGTTCGAGCTTGATTATCCTTAATGTGAATTCTTCCAGTTGAATAGTGATAAACGTGGAAGTAAAATTTTCGATCGAGCATCAGGCGGTTAGGATATTCTGCCTTCCATTCTTGGTTTTAATAATTAACAAAGCTTGCCGGGCAATTATGGAATCTGGGCCCTGTTTTTTTTTTTTTTTTTTTTCTTTTTCCCATTGCAGTTAGACCTCTCGTTTTCCAACTTTGGCATCCAAACTTTGCTTGTAAAGGGGGATTTTTACAGTTTGGGTCAAATTTTATACACAGACGTGAGTGCACGCGTATATTTTCATAGTAAAAGTCCAAGTCGACGATCAAAGTAAAAATTACCAATCACTTTACGTGCTTTTCTTTACTTCGTCGCTTACAACCAGATTTTCAATATTTTCATGTATAATATGTTCAAGAATAGTCCTCGTGTGGACTGCCCACTGGCTTGCCATCCCAACATAAGTTAAGGATTTGGGTCGTGTTTGACCTTATATTTTTATGCGTGTCCAGCTTATACAAGCTAACAATTATTGGCTCTAAAATACTAAACATGAGGAAATTATTTAATTTGTGTAGGGACCTAAACATAGTGGAAGAAAATGAATAGATAATATTATTTAAAATTTGATTATAATATTTTTGTAATCACAATTATGCAATGACAAGAAAGCTACGTTTCCCTATCAGGCTTTAAACAAATTGGAAAATGAGGAGAGAGAAACCGGTGTGTGATTGGTCGCCGACGTTAATGACTCTAATTGTCAATATTCGATAATTGCCCACTTGTTGGGTTCTATCAATTGGGGATAAGCAAGATGGGTGAGTAGGGGGCTCACATCATTTGTGTGCCCGTGCCCATAGAATAAAGAGAAAATTACAGCGAAAGTCCCAAATCTTTTATTTTGATGTAGAATATATCTTAACCTTTTATTTTTGCGGTTGCAGTTCCAAACATTTTACTTTAATGGCAGTTGGAGTCCATTTGATAGATTCCATCCAGAATCCCATTAGTCAACATTGAAATTAAAATTTTGACTCAAATTGAAAGATTAAATGAATGGTAAAATGGTCAATTTATATTCTTATAATGAAATAATTAAATAAAACAATGAACTTTGTCTCTGCAAATCACCCTACTTCCAATTCCAAAATCAAAAACTAGAACTCAGTGAATTCTTACAACCAACGCCAATCATTGTTGCCACATCAACACTGTCAAACCATTGCCCTCAATCAAATAATTCTACTTTGCTTACCGAAAACCCCCAATGCCCTCCATCAACACCGCTTTTCTTATCATTGTCTAGCAACAACCTCAAAAGGCTTCAAATCTAATTGAGGAAGCAGATTTATTTACTCTTCATCCAGTAGCAACACCAAAATAAGAAAATATGGGGAAAAAATCAAACTAATTGGTGAAACGGCTTTGTATGCTCCACATTCCTCACTACGTTCTTGGAGAGTGCTTTGGGATTCAAAAGTTCTCAAGAATAAGGCGTTGGCAAGTAGGCTTGATCGGAGTTGAGTGCGATTCATTTGGGTGGCGAAGTAAGTGGGAGTGGGTTTTGGATTGGTCGTCAAATTGTAACAACAATTGCCTCCGGCTCTTTTCAACACTACTCGCAGTGGTTACTCGGTTGACTATCGCCTAGAGCCGAAGCACCGCCTTCCGAGAGCCATGGATGATGCATTCAATGTAGTTAAATGGCTACAAATACAAGCTCTATGGAATAGTGCTAACCCATGGTTATCAGATGGGGTTGATTTGATCGGATTTCATGGTAGGGGTAGAGAGGGGTGGGGTTCAAAGAAGATGAATTTTTTGATTTAATTATTTTATTAAATAAATATAAATTGACCATTTTACCCCCATTTAATTTGTCATTTTGAGTCAAAATTTCAATTTCAGTGTTGACTAATAGGATTCTGGATGGAATCCGTCAAATGGACTCCAATGGCTATTAAAGTAAAATTTTTGGGACTGTGGTCATAAAAATAAAAGGTTAAAGGTATATTTTGCAACAAATGAAAAGTTTGGGATCTCCGCTGCAATTTTCCCTAGAATAGATTCTCTTTTTTATTATTATTATTTTTTAACTTTAGTTTAATTAATTTTATATTTTTTCTGTTTATATTGCCATTTCACTTTACTATCATTGTGAAACAAAAAGCACTTTTGGTGATACGTGTAAATAAATTTTGTTATTTTGTTCGATTTATTGTAAAACTTATTGAAAGGTTTAGCTCTTGTTTGGTGGGAATTAAAATCAATTTTTTATTAGATCTTGATAAAGGTCGATTAAATTAGTGGTTGAAAAATTGTGAGCCCTTTAAAATATATTGTTAAAGTTAGTTGTTGATTTTGATTTAGATTAAAATCGAAATTTTAATTTATATCAAACATGGACTTAAAGTCAATTACAATTATATATCGAGAGTTAGTTGACATATTGTTGTCCCAAAAGTCCAATACACTCACACATTAGGAGATTTTTTGTGCTGAAAAAAAAAACAGAGAGTGAGAGAAAGAAAGAAGAAAAAGAAAAAAAATGTTTGCATAAGAGCTTTTTGAGTAAGTTTTGGATCAGTTTCGTCTACAAGCTTCTAATCAAAGAAAACATTTTTAAAAAATTATCCAAAAGGACCCGAATTTTTTTTGTCTCGAAGAAAGCCTGCAAAATGGACTGTTGATTTCCATTGTCATCTATGAATAAATTTTACATTACATGTTCGATAATGCTAACTTGGAAAATGAAATGAACTTAGACTCTGTTTGATTGCACTTCAATTTCATGAAAGATAAAAATTAAATTTCATTTTCACATTTTTGCATGTTTGATTGTCCAAATTTTTTATAAAATTAATTTTTCATCTTTCACCCACATGCTCACATTTTCTTGATTTTTGAGGAAAGTTTTTCCCACAACTTTGGTGAGAAAAACTAACAATTTTATTGACAATTATACTTATATTGTCTTGTTTTCTTTATTATTATTTTGTTTGTGATCAAATATTTCATTATAACTTCAATATCTCAATTCGGTGGTTGATTTCATATCAAGTGGTATCAAATGATACATGATCCTTGAATTCCCAACAATTGGTATCAGGGATTCTTGACATAATTAACACAATAAGTGGTATCAGAACAATTCTGATATCTTGTTTGTTTCACAACTATTTTTTTATAAATATTAAATTGGTGGTTGAAAAATTGTGGGCCCTTTAAAATATATTGTTAAAGTTAGTTGTTAATTTTGATTTAGATTAAAATCTGGATTTTAATTTATATCAAACATGGACTTAAAGTCAATTACAATTATATATCGAGAGTTAGTTGACATATTGTTGTCCCAAAAGTCCAATACACTCACACATTAAGAGATTTTTTGTGGTGAAAAAAAAGAAAGAGAGAAAGAAGAAGAAGAAGAAGAAGAAGAAATGTTTGCATAAGAGCTTTTTGAGTAAGTTTTGGATCAATTTCGTCTACAAACTTCTAATCAAAGAAAACATTTTTTAAAAATTATCCAAAAGGACCCGATTTTTTTTTGTCTCAAAGAAAGCCTGCAAAATGGACTGTTGATTTCCGTTGTCGTCTATGAATAAATTTTACATTACATGTTAGAAAATGCTAACTTGGAAAATGAAACGAACTTAGACCTTGTTTGATTGCACTTCAATTTCATGGAAGATAAAAATTAAATTTCATTTTTCCATATTTGATTGTCCAAAATTTTCATGGAATTGGTTTTCCATCTTTCACCCACATGCTCACATTTTCTTGGTTTTTGAGGAAAAGTTTTTCCCACAACTTTGGTGAAAAAAGTTTTTCTATGCAACTTTTTTTCTTTTTCGTAATGAAAACAAATTCTATCCGTTTGATGGACAATTTTCATGAAAAACAAAGCCAAATGAACACCAAAAGATCCAAAATTTCAATATTTTTCAGGTAAAAATTATATCAATCAAACACAATTAATTGACAACTTCCAGTAAAACGAATTTTAGGCAATTCAATTCTCAGGAATTCATTTTCTTTCCACACAAATTTCATTCTTGCAATCAAATAGACCCTTACTAATTGTTGAATAACATAAATGAAATCCAGATAAAATTAAAAGAAAATGGATAGAGATGAGTTCATTTCATGGTCCCTACATACATAAAATTCATGAAAATCAAATTACCAAAATTTGTCAAGATTCTGAATAATTAACGTAAGAAGGAAAGCAGGAGATGAGGATTGACTGGTGAAAAGATAAGGTGAGACAAGCATATGTTGTTTTCTAGCTTGGCTTGGATTGAACCAACTCTTCTTTTGTACCATGGTTTTCTCACATGCATAGGGTCATCTTTCATCTAATTTGGACCTTTTACAGACATAGCTAAGTTTGGGTGGTGGTTGTTTATCTAAAACCAAGTACTTATTATCGGTTGCTTTATCGAGTAGCCTTACCGAATAAAGGATAAAAATAAATATACGATTTCATATATAGTAGACGAACACTTTTAAAAAAAGTCAAACCCATGTTAGAATTATTTTGAATTATTTATGGCTCAATATTTTAAAAATAGTATTAAATATCTCTCTTACTATCTTCAACCGTCACAACGCTACTACCACCAATCCCCTCGCTCACGTTTGCCACTCCTACACCGAGCTTCAATGAAATAGGTGAGTTTAGAATATTTTTTTAAATGACAGTGAGTGAAAAGATAATTTTAAGTAGATTGTGTTACTACGTATCACGAGATTTTTTTTATAATTATTAATTATATTAACATTTAATTTAAGATTATGTACAGAGACTTTGGTAGATTATTTATTTATTTATTAATCTTATGTCCAAATATATTTATAAAGAAGATATGGGCCATACTAATTTGGGCCCATTAAATATTAGCCCATGAGAACTATGTTTTTGGTCCATTTCCAGCAAAGGTCCAGCCTGTCAGACCTTTCATCAGTCTTGTGTAAGAGCCCAACAACTTAAATTATCATAAGGACCATAATTTCTGTTTTATTTTAGGAACAATACATAATTTCTAATTTTAAAGTTCACATTTCATAAATAACAAACTTATTAAAATATTTCAAAAATCAGATGATAAATAAAATTTTTAAATATTAAAATATAATATAATAGGATTTATCTAGATGTACAAAATCTTGTACATAATGGATTACAAAATCGTCAAGTGGCGCCCCACTATTGAAGGGGCGCCCGTTGCGTCAGGCGCCCCTCCAATAGTGGGGCGCCACTTGACATTTTGTAATCCATTTTGTAATTTATTTTGTACATGTAGCATGCTCCAATATAATATACATTAATTATTTTTACTCATGTCACATCACCTACCTCATCCTATCATTCCACTACACTACCTTCCCTCCACCTCTCCATCGGAGACGGCCTCGGCTCCGCTGATCACTCCGGTGGCCGCTCCGACAACGGTTCCGGTGGCTGCTCCGGCAAGTTAAAAATTTTCAGAAAATTAAAAATTGGAAATTACACCCCATTCACCCACACCCACCTTCCAAAAAATTTCCAAAATTTCAAGTCACAATAGGTCATAATTGGTCACAACGAGTCACAATTAGCCAGTCACAATTGGTCACAAACGGTCACAATCGGTCACAACGATCATCCCAACTTCCAAAATATTTCCATAATTTCAAGTCACAATCGGTCACAATTGGTCACAAACAGTAACAATCGGTCACAACAAGTTACAATAGACACATATTTGATCGAAATCTCATTGCACTAAGCGGGGCTGAGGCCACTAAAATCAATCTTCATCATTTTCCCTAAAAATCAATTGAAATATGAAATGCATGGCTGCCATTAGAATAATGAACTACACAAAAGCCATATGATTTCTAGATATATCCAAGACATATTGCAACATTTATAAATAAAGTGTTAAAACCATAGTTTTAACCAAGTAAATGACTAGCAAGATGAGGCACTTTATAATTACAAGCAACTTTTAATATTAAAAATGAGGAGGCTACACCAATCCTTAGTCTAATTTGTAAACTGCAACAAATGGCATCAAGACACTTCCAATCCAAAGCTTTCCATCCTTCTCCTCGACTTCACTCACAACTTTAACTTCATTTCATTGCCTGTCCTCCAAAATCTTTAAAAGTTTACCTTCAGGGCTGTATTTCACGATCACTGCTTGAGGAGAGCCTCCAAATTGCATCAGATAATGGAGCTTCACAGGAATTGGAAGCTTCATCCAGAACAATCCGAGTTTCTTGTTCGATAACCCATCTGAGCATCCCCTTCAAGCCCGTGTCCGTACAATAAAACATCCCATTTTTCAGCTGAGTTACAAGCAGACCTCTGAATCAATGGTACAGTCTTACCATTCCTGACCATACTTGACTGCAACAAACTAATTTCACTTTCTCCAGCATCTGTAGAAAGATAAATTACTGGAGTATTGGCCCTTTCAACAACTCAATTGATGCAATCTGAAGCTTGAGGAATGGGGTAAAAACAACTTGGTTTCTTGGAATTGCTGAAAACACATTCAGTAAGTTCTGTTAGTTGCTATAACAATTTAGGGTACAACATAAACTCGAGACTTTAAGAAATGAAAATGTACCAGAACTTTAAGAAACCATGGCGTCGGAAATGAAGAGCTACAAAATCCTTTCCCAGGAATGTCTGAATAAATTGCTGAGCAGCGAGTATAATGAGTCGACTGGGCTCAATTAAAGTCTTGCAGTTGTGGGCAATGGGATCACCAGGTTGCATCACCCAATCTCTCTCCACATCCGCAAAGAAAGCATCTCCAATTGCAATAACATCTGCATTCGAAGAAAACTTCGCTAAAACATCCTGTACTGTCTTTTGCTTTGGGTTCTTAGTATCCTCTCTCCAGACAGTCTCAATCTTACTCAGGGAGAGTCCCTACCCCTTCAACTTCTTGACACGCTCATCGTCCATAAAACAAGGCTGAGGTCGGTTGCCGATCATCTCTCACTAATGATGAAGTTCCAAATCTTATTTTACCAGATAGGGTTTTTCCTCGTCAAAAAGCCATTCAAAATCCTTTGAAACTTGATATGCAGTTACTTGAATCGATTGAAAATAGGGCAGAATTGAAAGTTGTGGAGATTATTGCTCAGGTCGGTTGCTTGGTAGTGATTAATCATGGAATTTCAAAAGATTTAATTAAATCAGTTTTGGCTGCCGACGCCGGCACTTTTGGGATCTCGCCTGAGAAGAAGAAAATGGCAGCTACCGGGCCAAAACCACAGCTAAAAACCACCACAGCTATCGTCGGCAGATATGGTGTAGTCGCCGGTGAAGGAGAAGGGATAGACGTGAGAGGCGGAGAGGGAGAAACAGATTGAAAATTATGTTTTAATTAGGATTTTATTTAATTAAAACCTCATTTTTGATTAAATAAACATTACACCTGATTTTTGAATTTGGGAATTTAAATACCTTGATTTAGGTAATTTTCTCTAGTCATTTATAGTTTCCAGAATTGTACTTCTTTAAGTAATTCCACGACCAAATATTGGTATATCCCTTCTCTACGACTCCCCCTCACAAAACAACCAAAAAAGAAAGTAATCCCGAGAAGTTCTTCACTCAAATGAGTACTTAAGAGCTTGTTTGGTAAGGATTTTGTGAGAGAAGAATTGATTTTGAATAGTGATATGATGAGAAATGTGTGATTGAAAAAGAAGATAAGATTATTGATATGATGAAAAATATTATTTTATTGAAGAATGTGTGGTTGAAAATGAGATGGGGAAGAATTGATTTTGAATAGTGATATGATGGGAAATGTGTGGTTGAAAAAGAAGATAAGATTATTGATGTGATGGAAAATATTATTTTATTGAAGAATGTGTGGTTGAAAATGAGAATTGATTTACTGTAGAATTGGAGAATCTGTACCAAACGGGGCCTAAATCTCTACATTAAAATTTTCTTTATCAATAATTCAACTTGTGTCTCATGCTGATACGTTGTTTAAGTGATATCGTTGACGATTTAAAAAGAAAAAAGAAAGCTCGCATCAAATTTTCATCACATGTACTCATGTTCCATTGTTCGTCCCTAGAAATAATTATTATTTATAGATGAATTCATAACGGTAATTCAATCTTTTTATTTGTTACGGTAGAATTCAATACTTTTTCAAGTGGAAATAATGTTTCTATTGTACTTCAATTTAGAGATTGTTGGGTTGGGAAACGGATTTAAATATGCAAAAAATAAAGGTGGACCAATTTCCTTGTGCAATGCTATATGCCATTTTCAGGTACAAGAAAAAGTGTCCAAAATTATTAACTGGGAACAAAAGTTGGAAGGCAATTTTGGCATAATCCTTGCCACTTTTTTGAGCCAAGATTTTTGGGAGATTTTAGGTCAAACGTTTTATTATAAATTGACTTGGTTTTCCATTTTTGTAGTGTGTGACTAAAGATTTATTTAGCTCGTGTTTGGGAGCCATTCTTTCTGAAAATGTATAAAAATTTAGACCGTTGGCACATTATTTGGCTGATAATTGGGGACAAAAATCACTGTACAAACAATGAGAAATCAGAATTAAATGTCAATTATACCCTTCACCCATATATAATGCATTCACTTTTGCAATCTCTGCAAGGGCAGAATTGGAAAGCAGAAACAATTGACAGTGAAATCATTGCGAAATTACTTTAGCTGAAATAGTTGATTTGACACAAAAAATGCATTATTGATGGGAAAATGGTTGCCAAACGGAGGCTTAGAGAAAAAATTGAAAGTCTGCCGTCCTAGTTTTTTTATGTTATCTATGTGGATTGTACAAAGAGTAAAATTGGTAGGTATGGAAAAGTTTAAAATATTAGGGTCCGTTTGGTTTGTATTTCGATTTTGAATTTATTTTCCATTTTTTATTTTTAGGGCTTGTTTTAAGATTTCTAAAAACATGTTTGGTTTGTCATTTTGAAAAATTATTTCTCAAAATAGAAAACTAAAAAAACGCTTTTTGTTTAAAATTTTGAAAATTGTTTTATTGCATTTTATTCCATTAAATTTGATTATTCATTAAAAAAATTCACGTAAATATATTATCAAATATTATATACATTTTAAAGTTGGTGGATTTTATAATATTTTTTCTCACTAAAAATACTAAAATAATAAATAATATATTAATTTTAAAATATAGGAAATAAAAATAAAACTAATATGTAGACTTAAAATATTTTTATCCGTGTTCATTTAATTTTTTTAAAATTTTTTTTATGTAAACAATCATTAAGAGCTATAACTATTTTTATTTTTTATTTTTCTAAAAAAAATTATAATCTTTATTTTTCAGAATTTTATCTTTTAGAGTTATATTTTTAAGAATTTTACATTTTATTATTTGAAATTTTTATTTTTTAGAATTCATGAATTTTATTTTTTGAATTTTACTTTTTTATAATTTTATATTTTTTTGAAAAAAATTAATTTATTAAAATTTTATTTAAACGCTTGTTTTTCACGTTTTGAGTGTTTTCAGAATTTTCACTGAAACACTCAAAGCGTGAAAATACATTTTGAATTTTATATTATAAATTTATCGTCGTTTTCGAAAATACATTTTCAAAAACAACATATCAATTATGTTTTCAGTTTCTTGCAAACTTGAAAATTGAAAAAAAGATTTGAAAATAACAAATCAAACGCACCCTTTAGTGAGGAAGAGATTCGGTACGGTTATAACAATTATTTATATGGTGAAAAAAGTTGACAATTCGTAAATTTTTCTCTATCTTTTTATTTATTTATTTAGTTCGTCTCATTATTTTCTCCAAACAAAAATTCAATAGAAAATAACTGATTCCATTCCTCTATTTGCCCAGAGGATTCTTGCTCGAAGAAAAATAATAGACTAAAAAAATATAAAACGATAACTAAAAATTTATGAACAGTCAAAAAATTTCACTGTATGAAAAAATATTACAATCATATAGATCTCACCCAAACCCCATAAATATTGTAAAAAAATAATATTCTAAATTATATTACACCCCAATAATTTTTTACTATTTGAACAATCCACAATTCGGCTGCCTAATTGTTCAATTATTATTATTATTATCATCATCGTGAACTGAAAAATTAAAAATCGATTTAATATGCTTCTAGCCACGGATTGAGGGGGCTGACCGCTGACATGGGCGCCCCGACCCATTTAAAATTTCTCTTTCTACATATTTTTGTATGTTGAAAAATTTATGTATTAAACCGATTTTTAAAAAATGAAAAAAAAAATTTTAGTCCAATCCAAAATTTGTCCTTGCATACTTCGACGTGTCTTGAGGAGAATCAGAGAATTTGCTCTTTTCATCCAAAAATAGCAAACCAACAAATAATTGGGATGGCGTTGGAGTTTATGAAGAAAAATACAAAAGCCTCGATATATCATGTCCTTATTATTGAAGAATAGCCACATTTTATAGCACCAGCCACGGCAATACCCGTACACGAGGGTTATCAAGAAAGCTACAAGTTGATATGACAACCAAACTATAAACTTGCCACAAAGCGCAAGGAAAATGTCTACGTACAAATTATCATCTCATTCAGATTTTGGGGCATACGAATACATAAGAAATTCGATGACAAGTGGAAACCATATCATAACGAGTTGTCTTTGTGGTGTATAATTCGAAAAGAGCTTTCCGTCAATCAAGACAAGCAGAAGCTTAGCATTAATCTTCTCGCAATTGCATGGTGCTCTCAAATTATACAAGAATTAGAAATTAGAATAATTTAGCCTGCGTTTGTTTCTCATTTTTCATCCATAAAAAAGAAAAATATGACCGTTAGCGTTATTCATCACATTAAACCATCAATTTTGAATTTCTATCTCTTGTGTGCGGTTCAATAACTACTATATTTTTTATTTTCATTCTACAATAATGAGAATCAAACATGCCATCGTTAAATTAAACTATTTGTTCAAAGGGAAATTGGTTATCGTTATTTTCAAAATACATTTTTTTCTCTCTTATTTTTAAAAATACATTTTTGAATAAAATAATATTAAACACAAGCACAAAACATTTCTTTATTTTTTAACCACGTATTCTCCATTAAATCAATATCCTAAAATGCATTTTTTTAAAAAAATTGATTTCAGCGCCCCCGCACATATTTAATTCCCGAATTCAAAATCCCAAAAAGAAAGACTCCAAGAAAGGAAAAACCTCGATTGTCCACAAATTGGCCTAAAAAAGCAAGAGCACACGTGTAAAAAATCCAATGGTGCCACATTATTAGCAGCATAAAAATAATCGCACGAGACCCTCGAGCGGAATTTCCTTGTCCAGCAGTATTCTTCCGAATAGAGGATACCAGGCATTTTAGAGATTACCACAAATCAGCACCATTTTTTACCATGGTTAAGACTTGAGAACTTATGACATGTATTTGAGTTAAAACTTGGTTGGTCCCTCAACTTAGAAAAGGGGCGGAGCCATCCTTTCAAATTTGGGGGGTCCCAAAATTGAAGGGGCAAGGGCTAACAGGGGTTCGGGGGCAGTGCCCTCGAAATTTTTTTTTGAAACATTATCTGTTAAAATAAGAAAAGTTGATACTTTGTAATAGAGAAATGAAACAAATGAACATAAATTAATGTACGAAAATTTCACAAAAAAATCAAGAAACGTTATAAAAGAAACTACTAATCTTTTGAAATACTTCTCCATCACTGAACTTGAGAATTGAGGAAACTCTTTCACTCATAATTGATAAAC